ACATGATTAAATGGCAAATTTTGTTATGTATATTTTACCACAATTTTTTTTTAAAAAGTAAGTTAAGATGAACTGGTGGAGGAATTCTATGTGTATTGTAGAAAGCTGGCCTGAGTCTGGAGATCCCTGATAGTTGGAATCCTCTCAACATCTAAAATACAGCAAAGGATCTGGGTCATGGTCTTTATCAGCAGGAGCAATACACAAATATTTGCTCACTTTGGCCCAGTCATCAGAAATGACATGGGGCCCTGGCCTGTTGGGCAGGATTCTCCTGGTGTGCCAGGGAGCTGTAAGCCTTCCCGCAGGGGTCCCAGGGCAGGAACAGGAACAGACAGGGCGGTGGAAAGGTACTTGGGGGCTCAGGGGAGCACCTGCTTTACCAACTGAATCAGAAGTATTTTAATATTTTCAGCACGGATATGACTGTATCAATATAAAATGACTGAACACCCACAACAGTCGTGGGGGCTGTGGGCATTGTGTTCTGTATAGCGCTGATTCAGCTGCAGGAAAGGTATAAAGGCTAGGCTTGTCTTTTCCTATCCTCTCTCACAGACATTTGCTTCCTCCTCTTAAAGCGCACTTTTCCTTCTCTCCAAACTTCCTGCCTTCCAACTATCCCCCTATATGGCAGGTTGTCAGGTAAGCTGATAGGCTCCCAGTTCCGAGTATACTTTGATTTCCTTTAACAGCATAAATGAATGCGTTCCAAGTTTTTTCCTATGTGTCCAAGCCAGTCCTCCAGCATTTCCTTTACACACCCACCCAAGCTTGTTCCCTTATATCAGCTTACCTGACAACCTGCCAAAAAAACTGACCTGATAATATGAAGATGATCTGCACTTTTGGTAAAGATATATGGAGGCGTCTGTGGTCCAGAGTGGTAAGCAAATCCTTGTTTCTCTGATTTTCACGAAAAGCTTGGTGGGGTAGGAGCTATTTTTGAGAATGGAGTCATGTCTGACATCTCTCAAATGACGCCCTGAGGATTTCCACTCACGGATGACATTTGGTACAGCTATCCCTCAAATACTTTTGCCCGAAGGAGGCAGGATGACTAAGTAAAACAACATCCACCAAGAATCTCAAAACTCCAATGAGTACAGCCTCATTTTGCTAACATGATCTCAAACGCGTCCGCGTGTGCTCTGTCTTGAAACCCTTTCCCTTCCCATGAACTTTCCTAGAGAGCAGTGAAACAATGGGATTAAAAAAGATGGAGTGATTAAATGAAATGAAGTATCCTGAATTGGATCCTGGAACAGAAAAAGGATATTAATGGAAAAACTAATAAAATCCAAATGGAGTCTGTAGTTAATAGTGTTGTGCCAGTGTTAATTTCTTGGCTTTGGCAAACATACTGTGGTTATACAAGATACTAACATTAGGGAAAGCTGGGTGAAGTGTATACAGGAACCATCTGTACTATTTTTGTATCTTTCTGTAGATCTAAAATTATCCCATAATAAAAAATTTACTTTTTAAAAAAAGATTTTATTTATTTATTTGAGAGAGAGAGAACACATGCATGAGCAGGGGTGGAAGGGGCAGAAGGAGAAGTAGACTCCCTGCTGAGCAGGGAGCCAGATGTGGGACTCAATCCCAGGACCCTGGGATCATGACCTGAGCCAATGGCAGACGCTTAACTGACTGAGCCACCCAGGTGCCCCTAAAAAATTTATTTTTAAGAAAGGTGAAGAAAGAAGAGAATCTAAGCCGTAATTAGCCTCTATTCAAGGAATGCCTGTATTCCAACAACACTCTTGATATAAAATCTTCCTCCAACTCATTCAAAGCAAGGTGAACTGGCATTCCAGTGTTTTAGCAACATTGTATCTTACATAATTATTAAAAACAGGTAAAAAGGGGCGCCTGGGTGGCTCAGACGGTTAAGCGTCTGCCTTTGGCTCAGGTCATGATCCTGGAGTCCCGGGATCGAGTCCCACATCGGGCTCCCTGCTCGGCGGGGAGTCTGCTTCTCCTCCCTCTGACCCTCCTCCCTCTCCTGCTCTCTGTCTCTCATTCTCTCTCTCTCAAATAAATAAATAAAATCTTTAAAAAAAAAAAAAAACAGGTAAAAAAAGTAATCCGAAAAAAGTTAGACAAGTTACTGGTAAGCGCTGTGAATTGTGCAAGACTGTTGAATCTCAGATCTGTACCTCTGAAACAAATAATGCAATATATGTTAAGAAAAAAAAAAAAAGAAGAAGAAGAAGAAGAAGAAGGTAGCGGGAGGGGAAGAATGAAGCGGGGGAAATCGGAGGGGTAGACGAACCATGAGAGACGATAGACTCTGAAAAACAAACTGAGGGTTCTAGAGGGGAGGGGGGTGGGAGGATGGGTTAGCCTGGTGGTGGGTATTGAGGAGGGCACATTCTGCATGGAGCACTGGGTGTTGTGCACAAACAATGAATCATGGAACACTTCATCTAAAACTAATGATGTAATGTATGGGGATTAACATAAGAATAAAATTAAAAAAAAAAGTTAGACAAGTTATCATTAACAACACTTTAGGGAAAATATGCTTATCTTGATTTAGATTACAGGTATGGGAGGAAAAATTATCCCAAGAATTGCTTTTGTAAAAACTTGAGGATTTAATCAAACCATCACTTGAGGTACCTTGGGGAATAAATCTGGGAAAAGACAGGGAGACTTATGTTTTTGACTCTATGTATTTTTGTATTGCATGACTTTTTTTTTAAACAGTGAGAATGAATTATTTTTACCATTTAAAAAACAAATATATATAGTTTTAAAGATTTTATTCTTAAGTAATCTCTACACCCAACATGGGGCAACTCCAACCCTGAGATCAAGAGTCACATGCTCCACCGACTGAGCCAGCTAGGAGCCCCAACAAATATATATATTTTAAGTAGCAGTTTATATACTATGAGGAAGAAATAGCTATGTTTGAAATGGAACACCAGAGGGGCGCCTTGGTGGTTCAGTCATTAAGTGTCTGCCTTCAGCTCAGGTCATGATCCCAGGGTCTTGGGATCAAGACCTGCATCCTGCTCAGCAGGAAGCCTGCTTCTCCCACTCCCACTCCCCCTGCTTGTGTTCCTTCTCTCGCTTTGTCTGTCTCTGTCAAATAAATAAATAAAATCTTTTAAAAAAAGAAATGGAACACCAGGAACATTGTAATTATAAAATAAAAGAAATGCAGTAATCAAAAAGAAAGAAGAGGGAAGTAATATGGAAGGAACAAATGTTCATAATGTTTATATATGATGGTAAGATGAATTTTTTAACTTCTGTATTTTATATTCTCTGTAGTCAACATGCAGTTTTTCTTTACTAGGAAAAATAAAAATAAAAATAAAAATTACAACCTTTACATACATGTATTTATCAATTTTTTTTGTACAAATATTATGACATATGTCCCTACGTGGCTCTTTAAACTTGAGGAAACCAGGGGTGCCTGGGTGGTTCAGTCGTTAAGTGTCTGCCTTCGGCTCAGGTCATGATCCCAGGGTCCTGGGATCCAGCCCCGCATCGGGCTCCCTGCTCAGCGGGAAGCCTGCTTCTCCCTCTCCCACTCCTCCTGCTTGTGTTTCCTCTCTCGCTGTCTCTCTATCTGTCAGATAAATAAATAAAATCTTTAAAAAAAAAAAAAAACTTGAGGAAACTGAATTTTAGAACATGTATCCTAAACTATCTTCAGAAAAAATCCTACATTAAAAGAAATAGGCTGCAAGAACTTGGCCACTGATGGCACTGGTTTGGTTTCCTTTTCAAAGTTATTTAGAAAAAATATCTAGCTGTATACAAGGACTGCCTTCCAAAATACTAGGAGTAATGACCAGGGAGATACTATTTGAATATTCCTGTTAAGCGTCTGAAACCAAACATTTAATAACTATTCTCTTTCCTTCTTTTTCTTTTTTTAATAAGTGTTTTCAAAAGAAAATCTTCAAACTTCTGGCTTCTCTCATTGTGGCTTCTTTTCTCATCTCCACTTGAATATCCCTGAGGCACCACAAACAAAACAAACCTGAAATCAAATCCAACATCTTAAAGCCATCGAGCTCCCAGACTTTTCCTCCCACCTTCCCTGGAATTAAAAGCAGGGTTTGAGTATCAAAAAAAAAAAAAAAAAATCTGATCTGGAGGAGATTTCACTTAGTCTAGGAGGGTGCTTGGGCCAGGAGGGTCACATTCTCAGAGCTATGTGGAATATACACAACCAGGATGGAGAAGGAGAAAGTTCTCAAGAAAAGCAGTGTGACAGCATTAGCCCTTAGAGCAGAGAGATTAGCAGCCAGAGTGTCACCTCTGAAAAAGGAGAGAGATGTTGAAAGCGGATTTGTAAGAACGTTTGCTCCATAATATCCTGCCTCCCCCAGCCCCACCTACCGTAGCACTTTATCCTTATTCCCAAAGCTTCTAAAAAAAGCAGACTGCCTGGGGGCACCTGGGCTCAGTGGGTTAAGCATCTGCCTTGGGTTCAGGTCATGATATCAGGGTCCTGGGATTGAGCCCCATGTCAGACTCCCTTCTCAGCAGGGAGTCTGCTTGTCCCTGTCCCTCTGCCCTTCCCCTGCTCCTGCTCTCTCTCTCTTTCTCTCTTAAATAAATAAATAAAATCTTAAAAAAAAAAGGGGGGGGTGCCTGGGTGTCTCAGTAGGTTTTGTGTCTGCCTTCAGCTCTGGTCATGATCCCAGGGTCCTGGGATCGAGCCCCACATCGCTTCTCCCTCTGCCTACTGTTCCCCCCTGCTTGTGCTCTCTCTCTGTCAAATAAATAAATAAAATATTAAAAAAAAAAAAAAAAGACAGACTGCCTGGGTTTAAAATCTGACTCCATTTACTGGCTATTGGTAAGTCTACGTACCTCTCTATTCATTGATTGCCTCATCTGTAAATGGCATATGGTTACACCTACTTTATGTGGGTTATGAGAATTAATTGAATTAATCCTGTTCCATAACTGAAATAACGTTTAGATGGCTACAATAGTTACCAACTTGTTTTTCCTTTCCTCAGGATCTTCTAGCCTTGATGTCTTCCACAATGGTGCCAGAGAGGCGTCTGGGTGACTCAGTCAATTAATCATCTGCCTTCAGCTCACGTCATGATCTCAGGGTCCTGGGATCAAACCCCGCCCCGCTTCCAGGCTCCCTGCTCAGCGGGGAGTCTGCTTCTCCCTCTCCCTCTGCCCCTCCCCCCGCTTGTGCTCTCTGTCTCTTTCAAATAAATAAATAAAATATTTTTTAAAAATGGTGCTAGGGGCGCCTGGGTGGCTCAGTCGTTAAGCGTCTGCCTTCGGGAGGCGCCTGGGTGGCTCAGTTGGTTAAGCGACTGCCTTCGGCTCAGGTCATGATCCTGGAGTCTCGGGATCGAGTCCCGCATCGGGCTCACTGCTCGGCAGGGAGTCTGCTTCTCCCTCTGACCCTCCCCCCTCTCATGCTCTCTCTCTCTATCTTATTCTCTCTCTCAAATAAATAAATAAAATCTTAAAAAAAAAAAAAGCGTCATGATCTCAGTGTCCTGGGATCGAGCCCCACATCCGGCTCCCTGCTCAGCAGGAAGCCTGCTTCTCCCTCTCCCACTCCCCCTGCCTGTGGTCCCTCTCTCTCTCTGTGTCTCTCTCTGTCAAATAAATAAATAAAAAATCTTAATTAAAAAAAACTTTAAATAAAAAAAATGGTGCTAGAGAGTCTCTAAAATACAGACCTATATGCATTAATCCCCAGCTGAAACCCCTTTGAATATGGTCAATAGTCACCCTTTGTTTCCAACTGAACTGTTTTTTTTTTTTAGGTTCTAATATTTTATCCAAATTTTACTTTATGTTAATTAGAGCATTGGAAAGGAAGGATCTAATTCCACACAAAATGTAAGACTCTAAAAAGTACCCATTGAACTACTGAAAAATAAACCGAGTGGCAAGAATATAAATAGAAATCCAATTTAGATTCCGAACGACATCACAACGTGATTACAGTCACGGAGACTGTTCCTGCTTGCAGCTAGAACTCTTAGAAGCTGTTTCATCTGGTGCAAGGGTAAAAAAGCACAACATGAAAGGGAATTAAGTCCTGAATTATTGGTTTCATCACATCCACCTTCTCCACCCCAAAATGGCACATAAAAAACCAGCTACTGTGCACTGCAGACTATTTTTGGTGTAAAAGAGGTGTGGACTGGGGTGGAAACAGGTCGTGAAAATCTGTCTAAAGTCTCTTTCAGGGACACCTGGGTGTCTCAGTGGGTTAAGCATCTGCCTTTAGCTCAGATCATGATCCCCGGGTCCTGGGATCTAGCCCTGTGTCGGGCCCCTTGCTCAGCAGGGAGTCTGCTTCTCCCTCTCCCTCTGCCCATCCCTCCCCTTGCCCCCGCTTGTATGTGCTCTCTATCTCAAATAAATAAATAAAATCTTAAAAAAAATAGTCTCTTTCAGATGAGTTAGTACACAACATCAAACAACAAGCCTCTCCTCCATTAGGGTAGGAAACCAAGGTTCACCTTTCAGGAAGTCAGAATTTTATTCATGTACTCAATACCAATTTACAAATTGTCTATAAATTATCAGCTTCCACTAGGAGCCATTTCTAGATAAAAAAGATATCTCTATAGGCCACCAAGTTCCCCTCAAGTCTACAGCTCAAAGTACCTTTTTTGGAACTGGGTTTCCTCTGTATCTCTGAAAGGGTAACACCTTAAAGCAGAATCATCTTTAATCTGGAGGTCTAACATGATATTTAGCAATACTGCATCCCAGAAAAAGGTGCACTAAGTTCTGAAGGTAGCTACCCTGCAAAATAGTTTAAAATTAAACGGTTGTACAGTATTCAATTATGCTTGCATTCCAGGCCTAGACCAAGCTTATGGCCACCAGTGTTGACAATCTTGCCATCCAGCAGAGCTGACAGTGTCATTCTGACACCCCTGGCTTTAGGGTCTGAATATATCCTAAACTCATCAGGCTGGAGTTGTTCACTTCAGTCAGGAAACGGGCATCAGGGTCCATCTGATACTTGGCTGCTATTCTGAAGTGAGTGTTACTAGTTCCTGCTGTCCAGACCAGATTAACATTGGTCTCCAACTTCTTTTTTAAAGATTTTATTTATTTATTTGACAGAGAGAGACACAGAGAAAAAGAGGGAACACAAGCAGGGGGAGAGGAAGAGGGAGAGGGAGAAGCAGGCTTCCCACGGAGCAGGGAGCCTGATGCGGGGCTTGATCCCAGAACTCTGGGATCATGACCTGAACTGAAGGCAGACGCTTAACGACTGAACCACCCAAGTGCCCAACTTCTTGTTCGCCTTCTGATAAATGGAGCCACTACACTCTATCCTGTCATTTACATTAGTGTGAAGCTGCAATTCATCAGTCTTGTAGCCAACCGCAAAGTTGCTCTGGGTCCTCCCAGATTTTGTGGTCTCAGAATTCATCTGGGAGCTAGCCAGCCAGCCAGCCAGCCTTCTTGACCTGGCACCTGAGCATCCCAGACTGAAGGCCCAGCCATGTAGAAATCCACATCCAGGTTGATGAACTCTCACTTATGCTCTGTCCTGATTTTATCATCCCACACCTTTATCTCCCCACTCCCAGCATCCTGCCCCTATCCCCCATGTTTGGTGAGAGGATGAATCAAAGGTCAGCTTCAGTCCACATGCAAGCTGATCTTCCACAAAGATCTCCATGCCTTGTGTGTTGACAGTGTTCCATTTCTCCATAGACATCAGACCATGTTTGGTGCATCTGTACTTGGTTTCCAGGCTAACCCTCACTTTGGTGGTTGGTCTCAGCGTTGGCTAAACCTAAACTTGTACATTCCAGTTCATTCTCAGATTTTGGGTTTTTTTTTTTTCTTTCTTTCTTTTTTTTTTAAGATTTTATTTATTTATTTGATAGAGAGAGACACAGTGAGAGAGGGAACACAAGCAGGGGGAGTGGGAGAGAAGCAGGCTTCCTGACAAGCAGGGAGCCTGATGTGGGGCTTGATCCCAGCACCCTGAGATCATGACCTGAGCTGAAGGCAGAGGTTTAACCGACTGATCCACCCAGATGCCCCTCAGATTTTGTTTCCAAATCAGGTTTTATGAAGCCAGATCCATAGCCTTGGTGAAGACATCCCTGGCAAATTTTCCAAGATGAGCATTCATGGGAGGCACAGCCATCCCTGGCTCATGGGTAGTGGTGTCAGGCTGGGTGGTGGCTATAGCATGAGCAGCAGAGCCCCAACTCAACTTCTGATCCTTAAGTCCTGCTACTTCCCACCCACCTACATCACCCACACACCTGGTACTGGCATGACTCCAGGCCTCTCCTTATGTTCTCTCCTTTCTCTGGATTATTCTCTCTATTATTCTTTAACTAATGAGTTGCTATTAAGCCTTCAAGACACTAATAAAACATTTTCTCTTCTGTAAAGTCTTTCTCAGCAATCCTAGACAAAAGTGAGTCACTTCCACTTGATTGTTTCCATTTCACTTGGTATGTAGCCCTGCATTTCTAATTGACAGGTTATGCTGGAATTATGTGTTTATGGGTCTATCTTTCTCAGTAAACTGTGATCTACTCAATGACAGGGACTGCTCCTAATTCTTTGTTTGTCCAAAACCACAGCCACATCCCTGGCACATCACAGATGTTTAATAACAGTGTGATGAGTGGATGAATGAATAAATGAATGGATTAGTATAACACCTCAGGTGACATCTACTTTGATAGGACGGTGAAGACAGTAAAGTGGTGACAAGTAGGTCCACCACTTGTAGCCATGCGACTGGGCAAATTTCTGACTTTCCTTGCCTTGGTTTCCTCATCTATAAAATGGTGACAATAATACCTTTCTAGCTGTTTGAATTAAATAATAAATGTACAGTGCTTGGAGGAAGGCCTGGCACATAGTAATGATTCTATATGTATTAGTTATTATTGTTGTTATTGATCATGGAGAATCACTGTAAACTCCATGAGAGGTGGGGACTATGTTTTGACTTACCATTTAATTCCTAACTGCCACAGTGCTTCATATACAATAGGCACTCAATAAAGACTTTTTGAATAAATATCAAAAAAATAAAAAAGAGAACAAAAGAGAAGAGAGTTAAAAAAAAAAACAAAAACAAAACCCACACAGGGTAAATAGGGGTGCACTTGGCACAAAGCACAAAGATATTGCCAAGTCACCTCAGGTCCTCACCACTGGGCTGGATGACAAGGTGGCCCTGGAGTTTCTGAATCTTTCATTTCAACCTCACAGGAAGTTTGCCCATCTCATTCACAGTGCTCTCTCTAAAGACATTGAAAGGGAAAGGGATGCTATATACAAGGAGTGATTCAATAAGACACTAAGAGCCAGGGAAGCCTGCTTTTTATTCTGCAGCCCATGGACTCATGACCTGCTGCTGAACCACTTTTTTTAAAAAAAGATTTTATTCATTTATTTAGATAGAGTGAGGGCAAGTGGGGGGGGAGGGGCAGAGGGAGACGGAGAAAGAGAATCTTAAGCAGACTCCATGCTGAGTGCAGAGCCCGACGTGGGGTTTGATCTCATGACTTTGAGATCATGACCTGAGCCGAAATCAAGAGTCAGACACTTAACCCACTGAGCCATCCAGGCGCCCCTAAAGCCACCTTTTCTGGTCCTTGACTTGATCTGTAAAAATCAAACCCTAAATACTTGCATACCTATTTGCAACCAGACTAGGTGATAGTGGTTTCAGTAATTGTCATCTGGTTAATGTTCTTCAAGGCAATTAATTGTAACTTTTATAGTTATAATCTTTTTTACTGGACAGAAATTATTTGCATCTTTATGGGAAAAAACATGTAACTTCACTAAGACTGGAACCTTTAATCAGGAGTAAACAGTAATTTGAACAAAGTGTATTCCCCCTAGATTATTTTTTTTAAAATTTTAAAAGATTTTTTAAATTTACTTGAGAGAGCGAGAGAGACAGAGAGCACAAGCAGGGGGAGTGGCAGAGGGAGAGGGAGAAGCAGACTCCCCACTGAGCAGGGAGTCCGATGCGGGGCTGGATCGCAGGACCCTGGGATCACGACCCAAGCTGAAGGTAGATGCTTAACCATCTGAGCCACCCAGGCACCCTGCCTTATTTCCATGTTTTAAAAAATGTTTCTTAATAGGAAGGATTTTATTTTATTTTCTTCACTGCTGCATTACTAGCATCTGGAACAGTATTTGCAACTAGTAGGCTCTTAAGGAACAGTTGTTGAATGAATGAATGGTTATGCATTAAGAAAGTTTTTTTTTAAATTGGTTATTTATAATTCAGACTGCATTTCCCTTTATTTTACTTTTTTAAAAAAGATTTTATTTTTAAGGATCTCTACACCCAACATGGGGCTTGAACTCATGACCCCAAGATCAAGAGTGACGTGCTCTTGTGATTGAGCCAGCCAGGTGCCCCTTAACTTGGAATGTATTTCCCTTTAAAGTGATGTTAGAAATTATGGTAGTTAGTTCTCTGGTCAGACCAGAAATCTTTCCAACCTGCAGTATAACCAAGAAAGA